TGATTGATAAATGACAATTAAAACAAAAAGACACAGATGCTATTTTTGAGGACTGTTGAATTGTTTTTAAGTCATTACAAGAGTTGTTTCCGTTGATATGTGACAGTGAATCTACTCTTGTCACATTTAAAGTATCCTGAGAAAGTATAAAAGATAGATCATTGAAAAGTGTTCTTCCAATGGTGAGTGTGTCCTTTTTTTCTGTTGTAGCAGTGCAACGGTTGTAGGGCCTTGTGTGAATCTTTCCATGAGGTCCCAAAAATATGTCGAAGCCTTGTAGTACATGCGATCGATGATAAACTTACTGGAGATGATCAGGCACTCACTGGGCGTCGGCATGTCCAGATTTTAAAAAAAGGAAAAATATCTGGCAATTCCAGAGAGTAAAATTTGAATCAAGTGATTTCTGCTCATGGGTGACGCCAAATGAATGCATGTATGTTTCTATAGATGTGACGAAGGAGTTATGCGACATGGTTTACAATTAGTTTCCATTAGATTGTCAATATGTTAATTATGCCTATAACATGCAAAAGTTGTTTTTTTATGTCAACATTTTACACTTTCATTCGGTTAGGCTATATACTTGGAGATATGGTCAAGGCAGCAAACTGATATCTGTACCTCTGAGCGTGCGAAAAGTTGTGGAAAGTCTCCTTAAAGTAACTGAGATAACTTTTGGTTTATGCAGTATCACAAATGTGTCTTTGAATTCACACTTCACAGTAAAATAGGACAAGTATCTTTAGAAAAGTATTATGACCAACCCGTACACCAACTGTTTAGAAAAAGTGACCAACCCTGCAGTGTATGCCAAACCAACCCGTACACTAATAGCATTGACCGGCGTTGGAAAACGCATTTCTACGGCCAAATGCAGTAGTTTGTCTCAACGATACCGTATTCCTCATGTAGCAGAGGGTTTCCCTTCAATTATGCGTGGTGACAGTTTCCAACTGTCGCTCGTTATCAAGAAAGAAGCAATAATATACCAATTTTTGTGGGAATCTGAAATTCAACACGAAAAACCTGACAATTTATCTATGATAATGCACATAATAGCTTGAGTTCATAGAATCGTATGATAGAAAAGTATTCCAATGAATGATGTAAACCATAGCTGGCATTAAAAACAACACCTTATTAAACTCCCAGGGATAAAACGGGTGGTAGTCGCCGAGTGGCCGCCATGTTGGATTTTGACCAATCCGGAATATCGGTGACCAACCCCAAACTGCCGGAGCTCAATGGACAGTGTGCACGCGAAATTGAGGGTCAGATTGATTGATTATATTGCCCGCTTGGAGCAGGGAAGATATGAGTTAACTTGCCGGGTCAAGAAATGAACCCAACGATTATGCCAATATTGGGGCTGCAAAAAGTGAACATTGGCGAAATTATGGATAAACGTCAATACAGGTAATTTCCTCGGACGTCATATGAGTGAGTGAGTGAGTGAGTTTAGTTGTACGCCGCTTTTAGCAATATTCCAGCAATATCACGGCGGGGGACACGAGAAATGGGCTTAACACATTGTACCCACGTGGGGAATCGAACTCGGGTCTTCGGCATGACGAGCGAACGCTTTAACCACTAGGCTACCCCACCGCCCCGGACGTCATATGAACCTTGATATGTCATCACAGATAACCCTCCATAGACAAACGGTTTCACTTTGGATTTTTTCACATCAAATTAGCCAATCCTCAAAATAGATGTAATGTTCAAAGCAGCTCTGACTCAACTTCATCACTCCGCTCTGTAGAAGCTGTATCTATGTTGATATTACTGTGTGATCTCGTTATTATTGTTGTTTTACGCCGCAATCAGCAATATTCCAGCTATATGGCAGCGGTCTGTAGATTATCGAGTCTGGACCAGACAATCCAGTGATCAACAGCATGAACATCGATCTACGCAATCTCTCTCTCTCTCTCTCGCTCGCTTTAGTTCTGTCATACTGGTAGTGGAGCCACAGTATATGTTTCAATGAGTAAAGACAGATTTAATTCTGATATACACATGTAAGTCGAAATATTTCTCCCTGACCTGTCGGTTTTCAAAGGCTCTGAACATCGTATTTTTGAATTGTGCCTTAGCATTCGTTGCTTGGTTTTCTGTCCCCGAGATTTGGGTTAATGACAGTCGTGAGAGGAGGAAGTTAGTGATGTATATATACCCCATAACACGAATACTACCAATGACGTATGTTACCCTTGGCAGAGACTCATATACAGTGAACTGCTTTTATGACGAACATTCCTAAAACGAGCTCCGGATATACCTAACTGTTGTTATTTGTCCAGGTCACTTGCTGTATATGTTATCAAAAAATTGATCGAACCGTTTTCTCCAAAACTCTTGAGATATTGAAAACATAGTGTAAGCAAACTACGGTTATACCGAACTATAATTAGTGGTCCCTTTGAATTCGTTATAACCGTAGTTTGCTTACACTATGTTTTCAATATCTCAAGAGTTTTGGAGAAAACGGTTCGATCAATTTCTTGAAAACATTTTTCGAAAGATTCATAAATCAGTTTTGCCTATTACGAAAACTTCTGTGAAACACTGGTGCCTATGTTGCTATAGATACCGTTATAGGTACTTAATAGAAATGTCATATAAACGAATATCTTATTTAAAAGCAAGTTGTGATCTGAGTGGCCTTGCTGCAAGGCTGTACTGAATGCTGAGCTCATGGATGTAAAGTAATTCTATCCTTCGAAGAGGCAAATCTAGATAGTGGACAGTACCCCAGTCTGTTATTTATTATTTTTTTAGAAATTACAATTTAAACTATAAATTTTTACCTTACTTATACAAGTCTATGATCTAAGGAACAATGTTCTTATTTAAACCACTACGGAAAGTTATGTCCATTGTTCTTGGAAGTGTTTTATTAGCATAACTGATTAACTGCCCTAGGGCAATTATTTATATTTAAAAACAATAAAATTGTATATATTTTGATAATCTTCATCATGCCTAATACATTACACGCGTATTAAATAAGTATGCCCTCGTGGTGTAAAGCTCTCGCAGAGTTTATTTAAATAACTACATTGTACCTTGTAAGGGTGATTAACCTATACATACACGTGTGTGTCATCCCGTCTACGTCTTCATACACCGTACATAATTTAAAATCCCCCCAAAATTAAGAAATAACATTTCACTAAGAGATGCCTCTGGAACCAGTTGTATGTGAATTATTTCCCTTAGACTCAAACTTTGTTTTGTACCCGTAAGTGTGAAGGAAAATGCGAACGCAACGTTAAACACGTTTGCAGCTATTCTAGTTGTCGAGGCAGTTCTTTAAAGTGAGTGAGTGAGTGAGTTATTATTTAACGTCATATCGGCAATATTTCAGCCATATCGCGACGAAGTTCTTTAAAGGGGCGATAGGGTAGCCTAGTGATTAAAGCGTTCACTTGTCAAACCGAAGACCTGGGTTCGATACCCCACATGGGTGAAGCCAATTTCTGCTGTCCCCCGAGTGATATTGCTGGAATAGTGCTAAAAGTGGCGTAAATTCATATCCACCCAGTCTATGAAGATCTGCTGTTGTAACTATTTGGGTGAGAACAAGGAGCAGTGCTACTCGTCACGGTACCTTTACGTTTTACATTTTTATGTCAATATTAAGTGATAGGAAACCCCTTTACCTAGAGACGAGCATTTAATGTATTTAGATGTGAAACGTGGTACATAGGTGATTACTCTTTGTCTTTAGACTCTAGTACTTTGTTTCCAGAAGCCGCGAGTGGGTTAATCGCTGATTTCGCGTGCTAGCGATTTGTTGCCTCACTCATAGCGTAGGAATCCTGGATGAGACTCAACCGAAAAATGTTCTAGAATCTGAACTTTAATGAGAAAGTGTTATCCCACACTTAACGTATGTTACATTTGACGCTAACATTGGCATCGTGCATTTATGCTCAGCAGTGGATGTTTCTCGATTGAGTATTATTCATTTACATTTTAAATTCATGCATGTTTAAGAATATGTTTATTGCACAGTTGGTAAAAACATATTTATGTCCGAGAAAAAAGTGTTTCTGAATATTAATTGATTTCAGTTTTGTTGATTTTGTTCAGTGATACTCACTCCTTTTAAGGAGAATGTTTTATGAATATATGTGAAGTATGTACGTTTTATTTGCATAAACCTTTACATTTCATGTGATCGGAATAAATGTTTGACATAATATTCATTGTCTAAAATATTTACTCTTTTCAGTGGTTACCTTCCTTGTGAGAACAAGCACTGACTATGGCTACGCCATAATTCCGCGTGTTACCAATACAATAGAATACAATACAATACCAAATATTTTATTTGCGTCTCACCATTTGTACAGAGTAAAAAACACCAAAACAACAAGTATGTGAGAGATGATGTACAAACGTCACCTAAAGTGGGTTGTGAGAGACGATAAAACAAAGTATACGTTAAGTGATAGACATTAGGATATATAAAGTAATAAGAAATACATATCCATACAAACACAGTCATTCCTCGTTTAAAAGCAAACAAATCATCATACTAAAACATTATAATAATATATACATTCATACAGATGGATATATGGCATAAATAATTTATTAATATTTAGAAAAGATAGATAAATACATTGTAGAGCTGAAAACAGAAGAGAGAGAGAGAGAGAGAGAGAGAGAGAGAGAGAGAGAGAGAGAGAGAGAGAGAGAGAGAGAGAGAGAGAGAGAGAGAGAGGGGGGGGGACTCCTCTTCACACTTTTGAGTACAAAACATTAAGTCTAACGGGAATTGATTTAACTGGTTCTAGACGCGTATCTTTAAAATTTTGGGGCTTTTAAATTATGTACGGTGTATGAAGACGTAGATTGGATGACACACAAGTGTACATGAAAACACTGTCCCTCAGATCACTACTTGCTTTTAAATAAGATATTCGTGTGGCTTTTTATAAAGAAACCATAACGTCATCTGTAACAGCATAGGATCCAGTGTTTTACAAACATTCTCGAAATAGGCAATACTGATTTATAAATCTTTCGAAAAACCTTTTCAAGAAATTGATATGTGTTCTCCAACACACTTGAGATTTTGAAACTATAGTGAAATTTACGGTTATAACGAATTCAAAGGGACCACTAATTGTAGTTCGGTATAACCGTAGTTGGTCGTACGTATTTTGGATAACATATACAGCAAATAACAACAGTTCGGTATATCCGGAGCTCGTTTTAGGAATGTTCGTCATAAAAGCAGTTCACTGTATATGATTCTCTGCCAGGGGTAACATACGTCATTGGTAATATTCGTGTTATGGGGTATATATACATCACCAACGTCCTCCTCTCACGACTGACATTAACCCAAATCTCGGGGACAGAAAACCAAGCAACGAATGCTAAGGCACAATTCAAAAATACGATGTTCAGAGCCTTTGAAAACCGACAGGTCAGGGAGAAATATTTCGACTTACATGTCTATATCAGAATAAAATCTGTCTTTACTCATTGAAACATATACTGTGTCTCCAATACCAGTATGACAGAACTAACGTTCTTTGTAAAGTGTATTGCTTGATGAGATTCTAAGTGTGTAACGCAGATTGATCGTCAGGCAGAGGAACGAACTGCTAAAGCACATGATACGTTAATTTCGTATGATTTCTCTTACAAGGGGTGTGCTTGTGTTATTTATTACACTTGTGAGCCATAGATGGCCACTGTGTCACAGAGAGAATCCTTTACAAGATTTCTCTCTATATATTTTGGAGGAATGATTATTGTTTAAGGCTCCTTTCAGCACTAGTCCATCAATAGCAGAGGACACCAGGCCTCACACATTGTATCAATGTGCAGTAACAAGGGTCTCCGCCATGACAAGCCAACGCTTTATCCACAGCGCTACCAGCCACCCCGTTGTACGTACAAACGTAATGTGAGGTATGCAGTTACCCACGCGTTACGTCTTCTGTGACGTGAAAGCGAATGAGTGAGTGTGGTTTTACCCCGCTTGTAGCAGTATTCCTGCAATATCACGGCGGGGGACACCAGACTTGGGCTTCACATTGTACTCATGTGGGGAATCGAACCAGAGTCTTCTGCGTGACGAGCGAACGCTTTAACCACTACGCTACCGCACCGTCCCGTGACGTGAAAGAACGTCAAACCAGTCATACAGTAGTTGAAGCGTGGCGCTTCCCAGTCTGCGGGAATATGTGCGGGTTCCGTATGACGTCGGAGTAGGACGGCGGTGGGGCATCCAGCTCTGCACGTGGATCGTATGCAGGGGGCGCTGATGGGGGTGCTGTTGGGGTCTCCGTTGGGGGTGCTGTTGGGACCATAAGTGAGATAGGCTCAGGGTCGGTGTCAGGCTCATCGGTGGAAGAAATGACGGATCTCTGTTGTGTAGTCCTGTGGCCATCACGTGCCACTTCGTCCCAATAATTGATTCTTTGTTCTTTGCGTCGAACTGCAACCAACGACGCACGTATCATACTTTAGTACTTAGTACTTTAAGGCTTTGGCATTTCACTTAAAAATGTAATTATATTAATCCTCGTTATCCTGTGTTTAACTTGATTCACTTTTTGTTTGTATTGTTTCTTCTTTTTTTGGTAACGCCGCAATCAACAATATTTCAACTGTATAACTAATCGAGTTACGGTTTGACAAACCGGTGATTGGTATTACGGGTAGCGACCCATGCCATCGAGAAGAGTGACTGAGTGAGTTTAGTTTTGCGCCGCACTCAGCAATATTCTAGATATATTGCGGTGGTCTGTAAATAATCGAGTTTGGACCAGACAATCCAGTGATCAACAGCTTAAGCATCGATCTACGCAGATGGGATACGATGACATGTGTCAACCAAGTCAGCGAGCCTGACCACCCAATCCCCTTAGTCGCCTATTTTTCCCGAGCGAGAGTTTGGTGAAATCAGTAAGACATTGTGATAATTTGTTTATTACCCATGATGTCTTAATATCGAGCTCCCCTTTAGAAAAAAATGCACTGGTTACAACCGCCTATAGTTATCCCTGGTGTCATAGATTTGATGAACAGAGGCGGACGTTTACCGATTGCCACTTTAAGCGAGAAGCAAAAGGGAGATAACTCTTACCTCTGCATATGCAGCATCCGTCACAGTAGATTTCCTCATTCAGGTCACTGTAGAAAGACCTTATACAACAGTAAACGATGAGCGCGATGATGGCCAGCAATACCAGGGCACCACCTGTTATGCCAAGTCCCAGCTGAAGAGCAATTCTGGAACCAAATCTATAGGTAGATTTATACCGTCACGTCACACATTAATTCTGACTATAACGAGAAAGTAAGTGAGTGAGTAAGTGAGTGAGTTTAGTTTACGCCGCTCTTGCAATATTCCAGCAATATCACGACGGGGGACTCAAGAAATGGGCTTCACCCATTGTACCTATGTGAGGAATCGAACCCGAGTCTTTGGCGTGACGAGCGAACGCTTTTACCATTACGCTACCCCACCGATACTACAGTACCAGAGTCTAGCTTGGTGGTCTCTGGTCTCAACCACTCGCCCAATAAGCAAATGCTATTTACTGGCGCAGCCATACAGCTTGAGTAATATTGACAGGTGCGTAAAACAATATTCGTTCGCAAATTTCTCTTTCTCTACATTAATATTTAATCTGACAACTTCTTAAGTGAATGCCAACCACAGTGGAGCATGTATGGGTTCTTGAGCCAGATATACATTTTTCGAAAACATTTGTGTTCATTTCTTTAGTTCTTTGGAAATTGATTACATTACTCCAGTTAAGCGGCGAGAGGGGTAGCCCAGAGGCAAAAGCGTCGCTCGTCACGCAGAAGACCCAGGTTCGATTCCCAACAATAAAGCCCATTCCTGGTGTCCTTTGACGTCATATTGCTGGAATATTACTAAAAGCGCTTAAAACTAAACTCACTCACCCATTGCTCCACTTTAGTTGTCAATGCCATGGCGCTCAGAAACGAAAGAGGAAATATCCACAATGTAATGAACATCTCTGTTATAGTCCGTTTGACTTCATTTTAGACCGATGAATTGCTCACTAACACAAAAGCTAATAATTGCAACAAAACCAAATTTTGCAGTCACATGAAATCGACAAACCAACTCAGATGATTTGTCTCATGATTATGGACACCCGAATAAAAAAGTTGTTTGACAAACGATCATGATTTTGTTGTCACTTTTCACTTTTTCTTAAGAGGGAGCACCACTTGCTGGTAGAACAGCCAGGTGTGCGAGTTGTACGTTTGTTGATTACCTGGCTGTTCTACCAGCAAGTGGTCCTCCCTCTTAAGAAATAGAGAAAAGTGATAACAAAATAATGATGACCGTTTGTTAAACAACTTTTTTTCCGGGTGTCCATAATTATGAGACAAATCATCAGTGTTGGTTTGTCGATTTCATGTGACTGTGCAAAATTTCGCTTTGTTGCAATTATTATATAGATTTTGTGTTAGTGAGCAATTCATTGGTCTAAAATGAAGTCAAACGGACTATAACAAAGTTAGTTTTCGTGACACAGGAATCGGATACTACTATACTCTGGACGTGCTCTGGAGGGGTGATCAGATCTTCCTACAGTATTGTATCGAATACAGATCGAATACTTACTTGTCTCGATCACAGCAGTACTGCTTGTCGACTTCCCCACAACACCCGCCTTCCGAGGCACAGTCGAACCGGGAGGATGAGGTCCATGAGCCGTATTTGTCCGCCTTACAGCAGTACTTGGCATACTCCTCTGAAACACAATCACTGACAGATGATGGTGTCTCATCCTCGATATCGAGGGAGCTGGGGTAGCCTAGTGGTTAAAGCGTTCGCTCGTCACACCGAAGACCCGGGTTCTATTCCCCACATGGGTACAATGTGTGAAGCCCATTTCGAGTGTCCCCCGGTGATATTGCTGGAATATTGCTACAAGCGGCGTAAAACAATACTCACTCACTCATCCTCGATATCCAGGGTAACCATCCAGGGTATACAAGTGGAGATTTATCGGAACGTATACCCTGTAGATATCGAGAATGCCGGTATTTAGCCTTTCAACTTGTTACCCTGACATTTCAAGATACCATGTTGTAACTGCATGTTGTAATTGATATTTCAACACCATATTTATGATCTTGAAAATTCAGATATACGTGAAATACGATATACCTGAAATTTCAATATAGTACTGGCACACACAACATGCGAGCGCACGAAATACACACACACACACACACACACACACACACACACACACACACACACACACACACACACACACACACACACACACACACACACACACACACACACACACACACACACACTGTCGAATATACGTACCTGCTGGTATATGAACTGGCCTCCCATTATAAGCGTACGGGCCGCCACACACTGCGCCACCGACACGGCTCTCTGTAATGCATGAACGAGTTGTTAATTTATGTGTCACACATACAAACACTGGAATAATATCCATCGTAGAAAAAAACATGTGAAATATATTGCTATGAAGGGCCAGCATTAATTATTGCGTTCATTGTGTTATGTCGTTCTGTGTATTAAGGTAACTATAAAATGTAGAATGTACTGGAAAATAACACAGCAAAAGTGGCTAAAATTACTTTCTCGCCAGGCAAATATTGCTGAACACATTTTGCTATTGTACTTTCAATATTTTTGTTTGTTTGCATTTTGTGAGTTATTGACAAAAGCCGGATTGTTGAAGTTACTGAATATTTCATTGAGGCGATTATCATCATACAATTCAAATTCCAGTAGAAAATGTTTGTGTCTTCTATGCATTTAGGAGGGGGATTACTGTAACTGACAGCTTTTATTTCTATTTTAAGAGAACCACAACGGCGAGAGGCTAAAATACTGACGAGAAAGTTACACAGAAAAAGTTGACGATAAATGTTACTATAGGGGGTAATATATCATAGGGTACAATATTACTGCTTCACATGGCAATGTTATCATCATAATCCACCTGAAAAGAATGATATTGAGGACTTAATTACTACTTTGACACATGTTTTGATATAAACCGTTTCATTTTAGTTCTATATATAGCCACGGTGTGTTGCAAGGGAATGCATGTTTGAAAAATAGGTCAAGCACTGGCAGTCCCATGCAATCATGCATGTCGTTGAGACCTTGGAGTCCAAAATATCGGATAAAATCGTCAAGTTAATGATAAAACAGTAACAGATGGTGTTATACCAATGACTTACCAGCTACAAAATGCACAACCAGAAGAGACACAACGGGAAAACTTAAACATCGGAGTAGATTGTCCATACACTTCCGCTTGTTGATACGACGCTGGTCGAAGCGGTGTCTCAGGTAATAGTTCCCCGTGAAATATGAGACAAACAGTCTCATGATTTCGTGAATGTGATAACTCAAAAGGTTTAACTGTTTCAAAATTTACAGTAGCCCTGACTGATTTTAGATATATTTCACAACATTTTCAAATACAAACATGAAGAGACATTCGACAACCAAGAATACTGTGGTATGTGTGTATTATGTGTAACACAACTGAGGACGACTTTCACTTTATTTGTAATGCTATTAGGTCAAAAAATGTTTCTCTCCAATATTTTATGTTTACCCATCTCGTAGTATATGTTATCAGCTGACATTCTCCTCTGATTCATGTACAATTAGATATTAGACAATTGGAAATGGTGCTACTTATACATATCATGCTGTGTTCTTGAGACAATGTACATTGACTTCACAGAGTATGTATTAATCTCTCGCTCCCATATGACACAATGCTCTTGCTACATTTTGAGACATACACCCAAGGGACTGTATGCCTCGTGGCGGTTGGAAAAGATAAACTCACATGGCTGATTTTGGTTCAGACGTTGCAGCATAATATATTATAAATGATTACTATCTGACAAAAACTGTGATGTTGTTTATACATCTGAGACATATCATGAAATGAAAATGATTCTTATGACATTGAAACTTCAGCAGGTTGCACACTTTACTTAAAGAAACTGATGGGAAATAATTGACCAGTAATAACAATTATAGACAGACGTGACTGGGCTAGTACAAGAGAAATAACACAAAAATCCAGTTTAAGTATATATTCATACGTTTTAGGAGTCTGGGATGCAAACAGAGAGTGGTAGATACCGAGAGTGGTAGATATATATATATATATATATATATATATATATATAGATATAGATAGATAGATAGATAGATAGATAGATAGATATATATTGTACTCTGTTGATTTCTATCAAATAGATTTCCTTTTGTGTCACATATCCATTTTTAGTTCATTTTGAAAACTATTTAGCGATTGTTTTACTTTTTTCGATTTACATTTATAAATACAAAATTGGATAGCATCAAATAAAAAGACATTTTCAAATTAGTTCTGCACTCAAATTCATGATGCAGACATCAACACTGACTGACTGACTGACTGAGTTTGGTTTTACACCGCTTTTAGCAATATTCCAGCAATATCACGGCGGGGGACACCAGAAATGGGCTTTACTCATTGTACCCATGTGGGGATTCGAACCCGGGTCTTCGGCGTGACGAGGCAACGCTTTAACCACTAGACTACCCCACCGCCCCGCAGACATCAACACTGCTATATCTTATCCAAAGAAGTAAACTGTTTTTGAAAGCATCGACTTCATGACACACCCAGAAAGGAGGTTAAATACTTTCTTGTTCTATGATACATAAACTGAACAATAAACTCTCTGTTTCACTAATTCTAAATAATTATACATCTGGGTGGTGTGTGTGTGTGTGTGGTGAAGGTGGGGGGTTGGGGGTGTTTCGAACCCCCGAACCCCCCACCCTCTGGATCCGCCAATGCACATGGGCTGATGCATTGTAAAAAAAATTCGTAACGTTGAAAAGATTAATGTCAAATGAACACTTTACACCACAACGCAGCTGTTCTCATGCACGATATTTGTACATGCTTTTCAGCAATTTGATGTATGGTTCTCGTGCAATTCAGCTGTATAAAGTTTGTTGTTGTTGCCCCCAAGTTAGTAGAGAAATCAATCTTATATAGTGAGTATAGTGAGTGTTTTAAGTGAGTCAAAACTTTTGAAGAGAAGGATATTTGTCGCGGGAACGCTGGCCGAGCAGACGATCAGACGACGCACTAAGGGAGGCAACTCCAGTATTTTTACACCCGGGCTGATATCGATCCGATCTCGTATGCTAGACACAGACACGTACCAATGCTGTCGATCTCGACACAGAAATACTTGCGGGTGATGTGAGGATGAGTTTTAATTAAGTTTTTGGTAATTAATTCCATTTCAACTCATTAAAAACATCCCATACATTCTAGGTTTTACACGTGTCATCGTATCCCAATTGCGCTGATGATCACTGGATTATCTGGTCCAGACTCGATTATTGATAGACCGCTGCCATGAATATTGTTGAGTGCGGTTGAGTTAAACTAACTAACAAACAAACAAAATCTTCATTTGTTGAACGAAACTTTATCCGGTTGAGTCAGCAATTGGCAGGAGAAGTAAGGTTTCGTGTAAGGACATTGCAGGGAATACTAATTTTCCGACAAATGTCCAACGAGCAAACGGAGTAGTTACACAGTGTAATAAGTCGGATGTGTGTAGATCAAGTTACCTATAAAAGTTATATAACGAATCGTTCATAGTATGATATGAATATGACAAGAATATAATATTCTGTTTATTACCGAGGTCGTCAAACCCAAATCTACTTTCAAACATAGGCTGGCTACCAGCCGTCGCCGCATGTAGAACGCAACGTCATAGAAGAAACGTGACTTCATAGCATTGTTCATGACGTCACGTCAAGTGATATTTTGCCCGAGGGCAACATCGTATGAAAAATATGAACCCCGATATTTTTCGCCCTCGTAGGTAATAAAATACAGTACATACTCACTTCCTCAAAATAGCTTGTTCTCCCACAACATCAAGGCAGACGTCAGGTCGGTCTACAACCTCAGATACCTTCTTTGTTGGACAAGAGTGAGGGTGTCTGGTTTTACGCCGCTTTTAGAGTATTCCACTATCAGGGCTGGTAAAACCAAAAATGGGCTTCACTCCTGATGGGAATCGAACCCGGGTCTTCGGCATGACGAGCATACCACTGGCTATCCCACCGCCATTGTTGAACACAAAGTAAATCTTTACGCCGGCATTGTTCACAACTACTAAGTGTATGGTTGTGTTTGTGATTCTAGTACGCCATCCACAGCAACACTAGAACTATAACTCTCACGAGGACACACTTCATGGTAGGGTAGCCTAATGGTTAAAGTGTTCGCTCGTCACGCCGAAGACCCGCGTTCGATTCCAAACATGGGTACAATGTGTGAAGCCCATTTCTGGTGTGCCCCGCCATGATATTGCTGGAATATTGCTAAAAGCGGCTTAAAACCAAACTCACTCACTCACATAGCTGATCTGATTAATTAGCAATGATAGCTGGAACACTGTGACGCACTGAGACCCCGGTCTTCAAAGTGATAAATACACGTTTTCTTCATTAGTCTAGCGTTAAGTTGGGTCCTGTAGGTGTGCAAAGATCCCTTAAATCCCATGGGCCTGTATCATAACGCTTATTGATTCTGGGCTAATCAGCACACTATTTATGCTTGTGGTTTTTACCTGAGCGAAAGTCTCAGTCCTCTTTCCTTTTATCCACAATCCTGATAGAACCCGATGCTGATAGAATTGGACTCATCCTCCAAAGATAAACCGCTTTAGTGGCTTTGCCAACACAGGATAGTGTAGAACTGATACAACATTGTAGGAATTGTTCATCAAGTAGATCTATCTCAAGGTCACTCTGAAAAGTAGGACATCCTTTCGGACTCACAAAACCAGCTCGATTCATGTAAACATTTACATCAGTAATTTTAATCATACATACAACGTTTTATGCATACAATACAATGGAGATCCATTGAACAGCACTCAATAAATGATGAAACTCAGCCATGTTGTGTACTTTGAAGTAACAACCTGCTGTGGCTGGTTTACCCACTGGCTGTACAGGTGTGTGGCGGCATGAAACACACACACACACACACACACACACACACACACACACACACACACACACACACACACACACACACACACACACACACACACACACACACACACACACACGGGTACAGTAATTTATGTATGGTGTCGTGTTTTCTTCTCAATCACACAATCAGTAAAGGATATTCAAACCCGTTAATTATTTTATTGAACGTTGAGGTGATAATGAACGTTTTATAAGCGCACACAAATTCGGCCTCGTGTGTCCCTTGGTATTATCAGGGAAACAACGAATGTTGGTATCACAAGACTGGATGATTGAGGTAGATTGTTTGGGGATCTTTAGTTTAACCAGGGATACTCTACAACAGGGATAGGTCACTCGCTTGCTTTCTTTACTTTTTGCACTAATTAGAGTGTGCCTCGTCATGCTCCAACGCACACAGTGACTTGGTTCGTTCCCCGCGCAACTTCGGATACGTTTAACAGTACTTCAGCCAGTTTATTGTATCAGTCGAATTTTACGATGAATGAATGAATGAAAAGCAAGAGGTATATATAGTCTCCCTGGTTTAACACTGCATTCAGAAACTTTTCAGGACGTTTCTATAATATGTCAACCCAACTTTTGAGACACCCCTTTTGTGTTATATCTTCAAATAACACCAACTGACCACATGCCATTAACCTACATCTCAATGATCCCCTTTGACGTAATAAGAAAAAATAGTTTTAACACTTTGTTGATCACTTGGGTAAAAAATTACTTGAGAACTATCATTAAAATTTCTGTTTGTTTTGGTGTCAAGAGACGGGGTGTAGTCGCAGTAAACGTAACAGCTTACGGATTAGGTCAGCGTGCAATTCACGTGCATGACCTCGGGTCACAGTAGCTTCAGGTTCACGTGTCCATATCAAGGGAACGTCTCGAAAGCATTAAAGAATAATAACACTTACGTTAGTCACCGTCAGACAATCCCGCCTCATAGTCAGAGATACCAGTGTCAGTGTCGTCATCAGAGTCTAGACTGATCAAGATGGGTTGGACACATTTCCTTTGTAGACGGGGCGGTGGGGTAGCCTAGCGGCTAAAGCGTTGACTCGTCACGCCGAAGACCCGGGTTCGAATCCCCACATGGGTACAATGTGTGAAGCCCATTTCTGGTGTCCCCCGCTGTGATATTGCTGGAATATTGCTAAAAGGGGCGTAAAACCAAACTCAGTCAGTCAGTCAGTCCTTTGTAGACCGTCTTTAGCCCAGTATACTTCTTCCACCTTGATCACATGCATGATTGACACATTGCTGCCATAATTCTGGTGATAGTGTTGCTATTTCTTCGTTGACAATTTGTTTCACGTCTTTGAGTTTGAAAGAGACATTTTTTCGTGCCTGACTCCTTTAAATTGCCTCAGATCAGTTCAGTAAGGTCACAGTGATAGGGCACCAAACGTGAAAGGGCAAGCAAATTTCATTACTATGCTTTTTCAACATGGTGTCAATCAAGTAAACAGGGGTGGTTTGTGAGCTAGTATGATATCATACAGTTTAGTTTTAGTAGCTTTAGCTTGAAAGTCGATACCATGCCTGGACAACCAAGAAGTCATCTCATGTTTTCTGGAAGAGGAGGTAGGAGTCTACTCCAGGGAACTCTGATACTGTGATATGGTGGGTTGTTCATCACCACGAAACACTTGTCAGGTAGAGCAGGAAATAGCTGCTCTGTGACTTATTCTGTGAACACTGCGGAGTTCATCTCTGTGTGATAGTCACGACCATCAGTAGATTTGGATCTGAACACCAAGTCACATCCTGGTAGGAAACCCAGATGAGACCCTGTACATTGATATGTCTCTCACCCTTGCCTGGAGGAAGGTTCCTGTTTACTTTGGGGTCAGAGTGCTGCCACTGATATGAAGGGGTGTGGTTAGCAATAATCTTCGTTTCATTCAAATAGACTACTTTAAAGCCGTTTTCTCATTCTTTCTGATATTGTTCTCAGATGATTGGCCCTAAGTCTCATGAGATCACGTCTTTCACAGAAACTTTTGTGCTGGATATTCATTTGTAACGAAATCCGAGTTTCACTAATAATTTACATATTGTAAATCTGGAAATGCAGATGCCGTGTTCGTGTTCAAGAATTTTCTTCAGTTTTCTTGCCGAGAGATGTTAGTTTCTCTGATAAAATCGGCAAATTATGTCCCTAATTAGTCTCAAATTGAAACTGTCCAACTTCACTGAAGTCTTTGATTTTGAGACAATCCCTAAATGACTATTGTCAATTACCTAATCAGGGAAGATAACACATTTAAAAAAAACTATACACATTCTTCATCAAAGTTTGCATATCTTTGCTTAACATGGGGAAATTATCCAGCCGGTAACAACACTGTCCATCCAAGTCACTTGTAATGATGACCCGAGGTCATGCACATGCGCAAACCTAACCGGTAAGCTGTTCCGTTTACTGCGCCTACACCCCGTCTCTTGACACCAAAACAAACATAAATTTTAATGATAGTTACTTAAGTAACTTTTCCCCAAAGTCTGAACAACACAATCCAGTGGCTGATATTTGGCATGGTTGTCCTGCGTGGATCACAAGGGTCACCTTGTGTCTTGTGCCCTCCTGAAACCTTCTGATACATTCCTAACTAGTTTTAAGAACTTCTGGACAAGCCGCATGGATTGCGGGTTACCGGAAGTTAAGAGTTGTGACGAATACTTTCGGGCTAGACACGACTTCCGTGTAAGATGGAGGACTATCCCCATCAATGTCTGGACTGGTCTGACATTGAAACGTCACCGGCGTCCTGAAGACGTCTGGATCTGGGTAGGGCTGGTGGCGGGGTTCGTATACTTCTGTGTTGAATGTTGACTCCTCATCGCTCAACATGGCAGAGATGCTTCTGGGTACCCGGACCGGTTGTGTTGCGTCTCGAACTATTGGCAGAAATGATTTACAGTAGCATTTACATGACTTGTGTCGTCACTTCTTACTTGAGGTGTAGCTTATATCACGTCAACGCTCATTGTCACCATCCTGCGTAAGAGGCGACTAACAGGATTGGGTTGTCAGGCTCGCTGACTTGGTTGACACATGTCATCGTATCCCAAATGCGTTGATGATCACTGGATTGTCTGGTCCAGACTCGATTATTGATATACCGCTGCTATGAACATTGTTGAGTGCGGCGTTAAACTAACATGGCATCGGTTCGCAATTGCGCAAATCGATGCTCATGCTGTTGATCACTGTATTGTCTGGTCCAGAATCGATTATTTACAGACCGCCACCATATAGCTGGAATATTGCTGAGTGCGGCGTAAAACTAAACTCACTCACTACATGTCACCATCCTGCACCATCTGTTACCCTCATCTGTTTCTCATTAACGAGGGAAGATATATTACATCTATGACAAACGTACTTTCTTACTGATCAAGTTACCTAGCTTCTCGCTATACATTTCACGAAAACTGTAGGTAAAATTACACATTGCGTCAACTACCTTCCGCAAATCCATTAAATCCACGTAAGAGAACTCCACCCTCGCTCACTTGCCTCATCTAAGGAGACACTCGCCACACACAACACAATTGCCATACACTACCCTTGTCTCACCCAACCACATCCTCGCCACACACCATCCTTGCGTCACCCAACCACACCCTCGCCACACACCATCCTTGCCTCACCCAACCACACCAATAGAACGCACTCTGCTTGCCTCACCCAACCACACCCTCGCTGCACACTGTCCTTGCGTCACCCAAACACACCCTCACCACACACTATCCTTGCCTCACCCAACCACACCAATAGAACGCACTATCCTTGCCTCACCCAACATGGTGGATTGAGAATGGTAGATATAAATGTGTTCATATCATCGCTAAAGCTCAGTATCCTGAAAAAAAGCATGTTTAAGAAACATGATATAAGCTACTTTCCTTTAAAACTCCTTTTTCAACTGGGTGCCCATGTATCGTCTTACAGACTTTGTAAAATTGATAACCCCTACTGGCAGGATTTGATATATATTTGGAGTAAATACTATAGGTCTCATTTGACAGATGCAAGAGATATTCAGGCTATTCTAGCTGAACCGATATGGTTTAGTGTACAGACTCAAATTTTATTATAGAAAACTGGTTCGGTAAAGGAGTGCATTATATAAGAGACCTATGTGATGAGAACGGGCTCTTATCCTTTGTAGACTTGAAAAAAACATTCAACCTCAAGGGTACTTATCTGGACCATCATCGAGTTGTTAGTAATCTCCCTAAAGAATGGATAAAGGTGATAGACAATTCTAAACCTATATGTGTCTACGATCTTAGGATGAATAACTTTCTAATGGAATGGACTAAACCAGCAAAGGGATCTCGAAAGATATATGATATACTTGTGCAAAATAATTATCTACCTATTATTTGTAGTAAATGGCAACAAATGTTCTTAACTGACTTAAACTGGAAGGAAATATTTAGTCTTCCTAAACAATGCTGTAGAGATATCAAGTTACAAGATTTCCAATATAGATTTTTGCATCGCATTATATACACCAAAAAGGAATTATTTAAAATGAAGCTGATCGACAATAGTATTTGTCAAAAATGTAACAAACCTTTTACTGCTACCTTGAAAGATATTTTTCAAGTTGAGAGATATGTTGCTAGAATAAATAACCAACTAAATGAATGTATGAGTAAATGGCTACCACTACTCACAACATGGACCGATGTGTCATGACTCTTCAACATGCTTAAAGTAGAATTTTGAGATCGCGAATTACAATACGTGTCAATCCACGGATGGGAAAAGATATACATATTTAATGCATAAGCTGTATTAAAAATTTAATATTGACCCTAAAATCCTCCATCGCTTCTTTGAAAGATATGTTGCCAAAATGAAAAACCAGCCAGACGAGTGTGGAGTAAACGGGCGCCCATTACACAACATGGTCTGATGTGTTATGACTCTTCAATGTATACAATCTATGATCTTTGAGCAGTAATACTTGAATGTACCTACTCATGTTTGAAGACTGATGTGTTGTGAACTGTCAACATGTATAAGCTTGTATAAGGCATGACATCTGTATAATAATGTATGAATGTTTCTACCCCTTGGTTACCCAGAAGGATACGGTGCTGTTATGAAAACGAACCAAATGAACCCAGGAGCTAACAAACAATATTACTCATAGCACCGACTTACCTAGTTGCGCAAGCTTAGACGATCCGCAATTATAGAACTTTGTTTGGATGATATTCGTATAAAACGATTGTAACAAGATATGTCACATGTCAACATGTATGACTTTTGTAAAAAGTGAATGTACCTACTGATGTGAATAAAAAATGTGGAAAAAAAACACAAAAAACCCACACCCTCACCACACACTATCCTTGCCTCACCCCACCACACCAATAGAACACACTATCCTTGCCTCACCCAACCACACCCCACGCTACACACTATCCTTGCCTCACCCAACCACACCCTCACCACACAATATCCTTGCCTCACCCAACCACACCAATAGAACGCATTATACTTACCTCACCCAACCACACCCTGGCACACACTATCCTTGCCTCACCCAACCTCACCCTCGCCACACACTATCCTTGCCTCAAAAATGAACCATACATCTTTATGGATGACAACTTCTTATTTATTGCACAGAGCGACATTCCGATGTAGATTCTTACATCGTTATCAAGCTAAAAGTGAATACAACCAGATGTAGAGGAGCATAAATACACACTCCCCTTCCTAGATGTCCATGTATTCAGAGACCTCTGCAAGAAGATCCAAACCACAGCCTACAGAAAACCCACCCACTTCAACTCAAACCACCACCCCAAAAACAAAGTCTGGTGTCATCTCAACCCTGACCAAGCGTGCCAAGAACATTTGCTCCAGCAGCTATGACCTAGAACATGAGCTGAACCACCTGCAACATGTCTTCACGAGCCTCAACCAGTATCCCACCACCTTAGTCAAGAGGATCATCTCCAACACCCTCCATGACAAACCCAAACAGACCAAGCCTGAATCCGCCCCCATCAGAATCACCTCTACCCTACATCGGCAAGACCTCCCAGCAAATCAGCAGACTACTAAAGCACCAAGCAGGCATCGCCACCATCTTCACTGACTCTACAACCCTCAGGACCATCCTCCAAGCCAATGGCCGCAACCTACCTTTCAAAAAGCAGCCCCCAAAGGAGTGATCTACAAGATTAATTGTGAATGTGGTGACTCCTATATGGTGAAACCTCCCGTCCCGTTGACATCCGAATTAAAGAACATAAAACCTCACCAGCAAAATCAGACAGCAAATCAGCCCTCTCCGATCACCAACAGAAATTCCCTACCCATCAAATCAAGTTTGACAAATTTGAAATCCTATCAACCAAGAATCGGGACTTCACAAAAAGAAAACTCTTGGAAGCCATCGAAATCCGCCGCCACAAACCTTTGATCAACAGGATACTACAATACCATTGGCCTATGAAGAACTAATCAAACTACACACGCTAAAAATATCCAATCAGCTTGTTATTACAACTTAATCCCCCTTGTTTGTTGGCTTCGTTCCCAGTCTCATTTGTTGTTCTTAGTCTCCCACTGGCCTCTCATAATTATGAACCAGTTGTTATTCAATTATATGTTGTTGTTAATGCTAATCTGCTGTTGTTAAAACATACTGTGTATAAATATATACTCCTCTACATCTGGTTGTATTCACATTTAGCTTGATAACGATGTAAGAATCTACATCGAAACGTCGTTCTTTATTGCTCTTGTTAGCCAGTCCGGCTGTGCTAGGGCTGCAAAACATAGTCTCCCCCTGTCATCCACCGTGGTTGTGTCCGCTGTCGACTAGACCGTCGAGGTTGAGGGACAGGTGATGTAGATGATCTTACACCAGACTGAGAGTTAGGATCTTCAGGTTGAGCCTGTGCTTCAATAACAGAAGTTTCCTCTTGAGTATCATATGTGCCCTCCTGATCTCCATCAGTGACAGTAAATGTCTGATCGCTCTGATTCTCCTGTACTCTGGATGCTTCAGGTGGCCTATCAGCTTGAGAAACAGCTGACTCTGAAGGTACCGAGGCATTATCGGAGGCACATGCAATGTACTCATTCTCACTTCCTGATTCAGAATCAGATCCTGATTTGTTTGTCATTGCCTCTTCGGCTGGAATGGGCACAGTCGGGGTTGAAGGTCCCTGTCTCGGTTTAGGCATTGGAGCTGTACGTGTAGGTTGTCCTTTCCTAGGCCAAGGGATTGGAGGTTCTTTGCTATCAGGCTGTGGAATAGACCCAATTGGCAGTAATAGGTTTCACTGTAATGTCCGCTTCCGTCCTTCTCCACTCTCCCTACCAACTGTATAAACGGGTATGGATGGATTTGGCTGGGCAAGCACAATATACACATCAGTCTCCCATTTGTCAGCCAACTTGTGTCGGCCATCAAAGGCCACAACCTTGACGAGTATTCTGTCACCCATGGCTAGGACAGCAGCTCTAGCCCTCTGATCGTAGTATTTCTTTTGTTTACTGCGTGATTTGGTTGCAGCATTGGAAGCTATCTCATAAGCTTGTCTGAGTCGATTTCGAAGTTCCTTGGTGTACTTGTTGATAGACTTGGACTTGATTGGTTCCATGTCTAACCCAAAAGCAACGTCCACAGGTAAAAAGGGTGCCGTCCATACATCAAAAAGAAGGGAGATAACCCAGTCGATTCATGTTGGGTACAATTATAGGCATGGACCAATGGTGCGACATGAGCTTTCCAATTCCTCTTATTATCGGGTTCAAGTGTACCAAGCATGTTGCATAAAGTACGGTTGAATCGTTCGCACATGCCGTTTCCCATCGGATGGTAAGGGGGTAGTCTGTGACTTGTCTATCTTGAGCA